GCTTGAAGCATACGTGTAAAGAATATGTCACCCACTGTGGTCATCGCTTGATCGGGAAGTTTCTGGAATCTATAGTGACCTGAAGACCTCGAAGCATTGGATTTTCTAAAACTGTTCTTTGCATTGCATTCTTCGGAAATGCTAAACAACATCTGTAACATTATGAAGAGCGTATGAGAAATCTGAACTGATACCTTCAGGAGTGATGCAACCTCCATTTAGTGAACGAACGTCAATATGTTGAGCTGGAATCATGAATGGATCTTCCTTACTGAATAAACGTGGTATTGCTTTAACTGATTCTTCAATTAAACCGTATCCTGGTGTAATACATTTATCCTCTAAAACTTCCATCTTTGTGCATGAAATAATAACGTCTTCAACTGTTGCGTCAGCAGATGTAGCGGCTAAGCTTGTAATTAATTTGGCAGGAAGTCCGATTTGTTGGAATTTGCGATCATATTTATAAACATGATTCATAATCTTTTCATAATTTTCATCAGTTATCTTTTCATAAACGTAATTTTGTAAATCAGCAACTCTTAACGGGTCAACCTGACAAAATACTAAAGTATCCCTGAAAACATAATATTTAAGAATGATTTCACCAAATGATTTAGGATAATCATCGAACGCCTGAAATGCTAACAAATCATTTACTGGAATAATCATATCAAAAGTGATATCAACTTCTTCATTTGCTTTCTTGAAAACTTCTGAAGGGTCAATATATTTACCACATACTGAGTTATCATATTTTTGAACATTATTATATAACGAATGAACAAACTTTTTAACTTTCCTTTCTGATTTTGGTTTATATGTTGCAAATGCGAAAGATTCACGGGCGCAATCCATCTGAAGATAACCGGCATCACCTCTTTCGGTTTCTACTTCTAATTGTTTAAAGCTTTGATTTGATGATTTGTAACCAACGAATAAACGCATACATTTAAAAGCGGCATCACATGTGAAAGCTTTATTTGAAACTAGAGTTGCTTTAACTTTGCGTTTAATATATGTGTCACCTAATTGGTTCACATCATGAGCCGGATTTGTAATTCTTAAATGAGTTTGTTTATCATCAAAATATGGAGCATCAGAGTCATAGCATGAACTTTCAAGTTCTCTATAATATCTTCTTCCGTCATTCTTTGCAAATATTTCATTTATCTTTTCGAATGAATGAAACACATTTCCATTAATTGGTTTAGTGTTTGGCACCAAATAGTTAGTCGTCATTTATTATTAATAAAAAAATCAAAATTAAAATATGAAAAATGAATTTTTAATTTTAATGAAATAATCAACTATGGCTGCAGGATTCTTTAAGAAACTGTGGGATAAAGTAAAAAGAGGAGCGCATAAAGTTTGGGAAACAGTGAAGAAAGGAGCAAATTGGATATTTAAGAAATAAAGAAGCAATTAGTGACATTGCTGAATCAATAACACCAAAGCTGCCCCAATAAGAGAAATATTAAATAAAGGAGAAAAAGTTTATCAAAGACTACAACCAATACTAAGATAAAAATAATATTTATTTATTTTCCACTATTTACCCCTATTTTATTAAGTATTCCTTCAGCAATTCCACCAATTGCGTTACCTGCTTGTGCTCCCATCGCCGGATTACCTGCTTTAGTACCTAATACTCCACCTATGATAGTTCCTGCCGTTTTCGCTACTGGTGCCAAAAAGTTTGCAACAGGTTTAATAACCTTTTTATAAACCCAACCTGCAGCTTTCTTAATTCCATCCATAATTTTTTAAAGAATCCTGCCGCCATTTCTGATTTAATATTAATTAAAAAATATATTTCATCACTTATATTCTAATTTTTATTTAATGATAAATGAAACCGATTTTAAAAATAAATGAAACAGAGGAGGAAGAAATAAATGAAAGTGAAAATGTTCAACAAAAAAAAACGTTGTTAAACCAATTACTGAAATAAAAATTTTTTCATCTGTTGATGAATTTAATGACTATTATGCTAATAATAAAAAATTATTTGAAGAATTGACAACATGTAAATTGAATAAAATGTTTAAAGTTGAGGACAGAGTCCAAGACCCGGAGGGTCATGGATTCAAAATTTCAAAAATAAAAGGAGTGGTTAGTTTGAATCTATTCCTCAATCAAGAATCACCTCATTAATGAAATTGATGATTTAACAAAAAGAATAGAAATTATTGAAGAGCGAATAAATCAAATTATTGATTTCATAAATCATGACTCGTTGAGCCCGGGTCCTTAAAGCCTAAGGCACAAAGTGCCAGGACTTAAAGTCCATCACTGAGTTCAAGGTTATATTCATCAAATATTTCATTATTAAATGCAACTTCTGCTAGTTTATTTATTTTTTCAATACGATCATTTGAAAGTCTATCGTTTAATTTTTTCTGAAGTTTTTCATTTTCTAGTTCTGAAACTTTATTTGGATGATATTTAAACCCGTTAAATTCTTTTTCCTCAGTTTTGATCATTAATTTACAAAGAACTTTTGTGGTTGAAATTCGTTTAAACCATTTATCATTAATATTTGTTATATATTCAATATCTGGAATTAATTCCCAAATTTTTGTATTTTAATTAATTTATTATCAAATGCAAAAGCAATAGGTTTAATATTAAACTTACCTTTATAATATAAACTTTCTACATAATCATCGAAATAAACATCTACTTGTTTAACATTTTCAAGAATTGGTGAAAGAGCATCCATTAATTGATTGACGGTTACGAATCTTGATCCACTCATTTTCATACAAATTAAAAAATAAATTATTCAAAAATGTAAGACATGAATTTTTAAAGTTTATTTTTTAAAAAATTATTTTTTATTTCATTATGGTAGTGAATCTTTCATTCATGAAAATAATTATTTCTAATTTCTTTTATTCTCTCGTACATACTAGATTTGAAGAATTCGGAACTTTTACCATAATCTCCTAAATGTTTTCTTATCCCTAACGTGTGCCAGTTATTATATGAAACTGAATAAACTTTATCTTTATCTTTACACCTTTCATCACTTCCAATATATTTATATCTCAGTTTTGATTTAGCATTTTCATATTCATTAGCGTTTAATAATTCACAATCTTCCTTTTTAAATTGATGTTTAAGATATTCAGGATTTAATACTCTACGTTTATATGCTCCTAACTTAGTTCTAAAGGTTTTTCTACAAAATTTAGGAATTCCATCCTCTTTAATGTCATCAATGATTTCCATTTCATTATTTTCAATTTCTTCTTCTCGTTTATGAGGTCTTTGATTATGACTCCATTGATTCCATGAAATTAAATATTCTTTATCATTATATTTATACCTCATTAGCTTATTTTGGCTTTCATATTCATTTAATAATTCACAATCTTCATTTTTAAATTGAAGTTTAACCCATTCAGGATTTAAACAATGTTTAATTAATCGCGGAATATCTGACATCATCTATATATAACTTCTTTTATAAAAGATAAAAAATAAATTATTTTAAAATTAATGTTAATTTTTTAATGGTTTATATTTTAATGCATCGTCTATATATAGATGTAACAAAAAAAGGTACACAATCCTTCCACATATACTACGTACACAACACTTCCACATATAATACTATGATTTATATTTTAATGCATCGTCTATATATAGATGTAACAAAAAAAGTCACACAACCCGCACTCATATACTACTAACAAGAATCATCCAAATTTCATCATCACTAGACATGAGTTCATCCGTGTGAAAGAAAACAATGAAAAAGAATTGTTGTTTATTTATGGAAAAACTAAAAACAAGATTATAAATATTTCAGAGGGAATCAAGAGTATTGGAATTGGATCAATATCAGTTGCAAGTCGAAACAGTTATATGGTAAATCTTCCAAATTCGATTGAAAAATTAACCTTCTTTGAAAGTGAAGATTATTCAAATTTAATTCCAGTTCTTTGTTATAGTGGTAATAGTATAATTAATGTTGCATTTGGTAAAACTGATTCCCCAGATATTGAATTTCATTCAGTGACATATCCTGAGTATTACGTTGATTATATCGAAGTAATAAAAGACAGTTGTAAATCAAATGTTACTGAAGAAAATTGTACAGATGATCAAATTATAACAATTGAAGAAACAAAATCGGAAGATTCATTGCATAGTTTAGAGATTGCATTGATTATAATATCTCTTTTGTTCATTGCATCTCTTATCATTCTTCTTTATACAATTTACTTATACGTGAAGAGAGATGATGAAGATGAATCAGACTCATTACCAGATATGAAGATTGAAGAAACAGCAATAATAAATACTAATGGAACTGTAGGTTTCGTATATGATAATTCGCTGTTTTCATTATCACAACATGAAGATGATCCATTCAAAAGTGATTTTGAAGAGCACGAAGATAAGAAAGAAAACGATAGCTCTAGCGACAAAGATATGGATGAATATTAAACTCTTATGGCCTAGCTAATAAATATTCTTCATTGTTTGCCTTCTTTGAAGTAATTTTATTTTCGATATTATTTATTTGGCTTGTTTTGTCCATAAAGATATCAATACTTTAAAAGTTAGTAGTTTTTTGATTCAAATCTATTAAATTGCTTGAATTTGGCATGAGTAAATTAAATTAATCTAAAACATAGTAGCTTGAAATGAAGTCCAACAGGTGTTTGTTTCAAATTAGAAGGGAAACAATTTATTTAGAATTGATATGAAAACATGATAAGAATAATGTAAAAAAGTATATTTTAAAAGATGTATTTCAAATATTTTTTTTAATTTGTTTTGGAAAATGATTTTTCCTCATGGTTTTGGACATTCACAAAGATAATGAATCAATAAGACATTGTTATTAATAATATATATTGGAAATATCCAATAAAAATTGGCTTGAAACAAGGGTTACAAAATTATTTTTATTATTTTACCAGAATTGAGGAATTTCATTGCTATTATGCAAGAATATAATATTAATATATAAATAAAAATCTTTATTCAAAGGTATAGTTGGGAGTAATCAAACAAAATTGGTGATTATAATAAAAAGTTTTGAAAGGAAGGAATACATATATTTTTGCGCCTTCAATTTCTGTAAATTGCTTGTTACAATTCAAAATTACTGTAACACTTGTAAAATTGTTCTCATTTTGGGATTCTAAGTATGAATTTTCATAAATACATCTTAATACTTTAATTCCGCTACAATCCCATAGCTCTAGATCATTTGAAATATCTTCTGAGATAATGAACGTTATAAATTCTCTCTTAAAATAATCTTGAGAATTAATTTTTTCAATTTGATCTTCTGGTGATGAATGAATCATAAAACTAGGGTCTATATCAATTGCTTCTTGTGTTTCTGTATCTTTGATTTGATTTGGCAAAATCACGTCAATATCTTCCTGTGTTTCAAAGAAATCATTTGGAATATTCTCTATTTCATCTTCACTTGTTTCACATCCACTGATCTGTGTTGAATTTGGTGATATTTCGTCGCTGCTCATAAAAAATTCTTTTGAATCAAAAAAGTGGAAAAGGGAACTTCACTCTTTTCGATAAATTTTTTTACAAGAAGAAAGAATTTAATGACTATACCATACTTGAAACAATTCTCATGGGATTTTGCTGTCAAAATGCCTGCGAATCAAAGAACATCTTGTTATTTTATCAATTTTCAGACTTTTGAGGCCAAATGGCATGAACAAAGCAAGGATAGATAAAACAGGACGGTTAAGAATATCACACTTTGTATATTAAAACTGGAATCTTAGAAATAAAAATACTCATCATTTCAAATTTGTTTTTGATCTCATTTTTTGATGAATTTATATTATACAAAACAATTTGTAGTGATTGGTATTCCAATATACTCTGAATATTTTTCTGAGTATTTTTGTAAATTGTCAAAAATTTTACGCCTGTAAAATGCAAAAAGAAGTGTTATCCAACGTTGGTAATTTTTGACCCGGCGGTAAGCGGCTGAACTTTGTGAAGTTTACACCAAGATTTTACATGTCATTTGTCAAGTCACTTTTATGAAATTTAGATAATACAGGGAGACACAAAAAATTAAAGGGTGAATTAAAAAAAATTTAAATAAATAGGATTTATAAAAAATTAACTAAATTAAAACAAAGGATATGATATTATAATTGAAAATATCAATTAGTATAATGTAATAATGCGAACGAGGATCTATTTATCTGATAATTTGATAATAGACATCAATTGATTGTTAAAGTTATTGATGAAATGAGTTGATCAAATATAATCAAATACATCATGAATATGGTGATTGAGTTTGAAAATTTACATCAAATTAGGGAATTAACTAAGTTATTGCTGATATCTGATTAAAGAGATTATTTAATCAGATATTGCTTTTGATGATAATTAGATTTTGTATTTGATAGTAACAACTTATGAGATAATAAATTTTATGATATCGTTTGAAAAAATATTGTATTTGTTGATAGCAGTTGGAAACACTATGTATCTATTGATAGCACTTGAATTCTTAATTAATTTGTTGATATCAATTGTAAACATAATGTATCTATTGATATCAGTTGTAAACATAATTTATTTATTGATATCACTTGAATATTTAATCTATTTTATTGATATCATTTGGAAACATTATGTATCTATTGATACCATGTGAATATTTAATCGATTTGTTGATATCACTTGAATATTTAATCTATTTTGTTGATATCATTTGGAAACATAATGTATCTATTGATATCAGTTGTAAACATAATTTATCTGTTGATATCACTTGAATACTTAATCTATTTTGTTGATATCATTTGGAAACATAATGTATCTATTGATATCAGTTGTAAACATAATTTATTTGTTGATATCACTTGAATACTTAATCTATTTTGTTGATATCATTTTGAAACATAATGTATCTATTGATACCATGTGAATATTTAATCGATTTGTTGATATCACTTGAATACTTAATCTATTTTGTTGATATCATTTGGAAACATAATGTATCTATTGATATCAGTTGTAAACATAATTTATTTGTTGATATCACTTGAATACTTAATCTATTTTGTTGATATCATTTGGAAACATAATGTATCTATTGATACCATGTGAATATTTAATCGATTTGTTGATATCACTTGAATACTTAATCTATTTTGTTGATATCATTTGGAAACATAATGTATCTATTGATATCAGTTGTAAACATAATTTATTTGTTGATATCACTTGAATATTTAATCTATTTTGTTGATATCATTTGGAAACATTATGTATCTATTAGTATCACTTGAAGAGATAACCTATTTTATATTATCATTTGAAGATATCATATATATAATTCAATCATTTGACATATTAATTCATCTGATAATATTCCTTGAATATATAATGAATTTGTTAATATCACTTGAACAATTAATGAAATACTTGATATTATTTGAAATATTAATACATTTGCTAATATCATCAAAACTGATATCTATTTGTTGATTTCCTTCGAAGAAAAAATGAATCATTTGATATCATTTGAAGAGATAAGGAATTATTTGATATCATTTGAACTCATTTTCTATTTTTTGATGTCAGTTGAAGATATTATATATTTGTTGAAATCATTTGAAAACATGATTTTGTTGATATAATTGGAATTTATAGTATAGTGGTTGAGATTAATTGAAGAATTAATTGAATTTTTGATCTCAGATGATGAGATTCACGATAGCAGATGAATTAATATGTCAAATGATTGAATTATATATATGATGAATGGATTCTCGATAGGATGATATCAGATGATGAAATTATCGATATGATAATATCCGATGTTGGCTTTCTGGATATGATCATATGAGATGATTGCTTTCCCGATACGATGATATGAGGTGAATGGATTCTCGATATGATGATATCAGATAATTGCATTCTCCATCTGATGATATGAGGTGAAGGGATTCTCGATATGATGATATCTGTTGTTGGCATTCTCGATAAAATCATAGGAAATGATGAGATTCTCGATAATATCATATGAGATGATGAGATTCTCGATTTGATCATATAGGATCTTAGAATTCTCGATATGATGATATCAAATGATGGCTTTCCCGATATGGTCATATTTGATGATGAGATTCTCGATATGATCATATTCGTTGAATGGATTCTCGATATGATGATATCAGTTGAAGGGATTCTCGATATGATGATATCAAATGATGGCTTTCTCGATATGATCATATCAGATGATTGCTTTCCCGATACGATGATATGAGATGAATGGATTCTCGATATGATGATATCAGATGAATGGATTCTCGATATGATGATATCAGATGATGAGATTCTCGATATGATCATATTAGTTGAATGGATTCTCGATATGATCATATCAGATGATGAGATTCTCGATATCATCATATCAGATGATGAGATTCTCGATATGATGATATCAGTTGAAGGGATTCTCGATATGATGATATCAAATGATGGCTTTCTGGATATGATCATATTAGTTGAATGGATTCTCGATATGATCATATCAGATGATGAGATTCTCGATATGATCATATCAGATGATGAGATTCTCGATATGATGATATCAGATGAATGGATTCTCGATATGATGATATCAGATGAATGGATGCTCGATGTGATCATATCAGATGAATGGATTCTCGATATGATCATATCAGATGAATGGATTCTCGATATGATCATATCAGATGATGAGATTCTCGATATCATCATATCAGATGATGAGATTCTCGATATGATGATATCAGATGAATGGATTCTCGATATGATGATATCAGTTGAAGGGATTCTCGATATGATGATATCAAATGATGGCTTTCTCGATATGATCATATTAGTTGAATGGATTCTCGATATGATCATATCAGATGATGAGATTCTCGATATGATCATATCAGATGATGAGATTCTCGATATGATGATATCAGATGAATGGATTCTCGATATGATGATATCAGTTGAATGGATTCTCGATATGATGATATCAGATGATGAGATTCTCGATATGATCATATCAGATGATGAGATTCTCGATATGATGATATCAGTTGAAGGGATTCTCGATATGATGATATCAAATGATGGCTTTCTCGATATGATCATATCAGATGATGAGATTCTCGATATGATGATATCAGATGAATGGATTCTCGATATGATGATATCAGTTGAAGGGATTCTCGATATGATCATATCAGATGAATGGATTCTCGATATGATCATATTAGTTGAATGGATTCTCGATATGATCATATCAGATGATGAGATTCTCGATATGATCATATCAGATGATGAGATTCTCGATATGATGATATCAGATGAATGGATTCTCGATATGATGATATCAAATGATGGCTTTCTCGATATGATCATATCAGATGATTGCTTTCCCGATACGATGATATGAGATGAATGGATTCTCGATATGATGATATCAGATGAATGGATTCTCGATATGATGATATCAGATGAATGGATTCTCGATATGATCATATTAGTTGAATGGATTCTCGATATGATCATATCAGATGATGAGATTCTCGATATCATCATATCAGATGATGAGATTCTCGATATGATGATATCAGATGAATGGATTCTCGATATGATGATATCAGTTGAAGGGATTCTCGATATGATGATATCAAATGATGGCTTTCTCGATATGATCATATCAGATGATTGCTTTCCCGATACGATGATATGAGATGAATGGATTCTCGATATGATGATATCAGATGAATGGATTCTCGATATGATGATATGTGATGATGAGATTCTCGATATGATCATATTAGTTGAATGGATTCTCGATATGATGATATCAGATGATGAGATTCTCGATATGATCATATCAGATGATGAGATTCTCGATATGATGATATCAGTTGAAGGGATTCTCGATATGATGATATCAAATGATGGCTTTCTCGATATGATCATATCAGATGATGAGATTCTCGATATGATGATATCAGATGAATGGATTCTCGATATGATGATATCAGTTGAAGGGATTCTCGATATGATCATATCAGATGAATGGATTCTCGATATGATCATATTAGTTGAATGGATTCTCGATATGATCATATCAGATGATGAGATTCTCGATATGATCATATCAGATGATGAGATTCTCGATATGATGATATCAGATGAATGGATTCTCGATATGATGATATCAGTTGAAGGGATTCTCGATATGATCATATCAGATGAATGGATTCTCGATATGATCATATTAGTTGAATGGATTCTCGATATGATCATATCAGATGATGAGATTCTCGATATGATCATATCAGATGATGAGATTCTCGATATGATGATATCAGATGAATGGATTCTCGATATGATGATATCAGATGAATGGATTCTCGATATGATCATATTAGTTGAATGGATTCTCGATATGATCATATCAGATGATGAGATTCTCGATATCATCATATCAGAT